GTACTATCAAACCACTCAAATCGATTTTGTCAAAGTTAGTAGGCTCAAATCTGATAAAATTAACCTAAGTCTGTTTTCGCTATAACAATTAATCTAATAATTTTTAATGGTTTGAAATTTGATATCCTCTCAATGCTGATACAAAATTTGTTCATATATATCGGTTTTAAGAGATCTAATAGTATTTACATATTAAGAAATAGGATAATAGGATTTTAATTACCTGCAACAAATTACAGCCATTCGAATCTTCCTTCCAGAAGGATACTTGTGAGTTGTTGATAAATCAACTCCTCTCCAAAATTCCAACAAGTTATCTACTACCGGAGCGAGATAATTATTAATCCAATGTAACTTGACTTCTTTTGGTTCTGGTAGAAGAGCTAAAAGTAACATATTTTCCTTTTTAAATCAGATCTTCCATGGTAGATTACAAATTGCGCCATATATTGCACCACTGCTATAAAAGCTGTGTCAAAAGACTGGAACTAGTCCATATTGATGATTATACCCAGATGTGAATTGGCAGTTTCAGGTGTGAAAAATCTCGATTCTTTCAAATTGTTATCAGATAGGAAGGTTTTCCAAATTTCACTATTGTATATATCAGACATTAAGTAAGGCTCACTGTCTCAATTAGTCCACTTATACAAAAGTTCCTCAAATCCTGATATGATAGTTATGATTATAATTTAATTATAGTATAATTAAAAGAAAACTTTACTTAAAAGAATGTATGAAACAAGTTGTTCTCCTGTATTTCAACTTATAAAAGCAGCAATATTTAACATACCTGGGCTTTGATACATTATGGATATTTGTGTTCTTAAACATGGTAATAGGTATACCATTTTAGGACGCCAAATATACCCATCAGTTACTGGTACTTTAACTAACAATTCAGACCCACAGGGTTCACGTTTAGACCATAATGGATAATCAGGAAATTCAGTATGTGTGCATTTGAACCCTGGACTATTAGTATCTGCATTTTTTAAAACTATGGTATCAATATCATACAACTTATTGCAGTCAAGACAAGTTGCGAATTTTTTTATTTTTTTTTTTAATTTTTAAAAATTTTCTAGCTTTATTGGCATTTGAGGGAAAGTTTTCAAATCTTTTTTTATCCAAATATGACAAAAGAAGTTTTAAGAAGAATATTAATGAGTTAACCCCGACTTTTGAAAGCATGAATCTTTCTTGAAACTTGAATGCCCAAATTAAAATCCAGTCATGATCTGGCTCATTGGAGTTATCATTATCTGAACTAAACTCATCATCAAATTGTTCAAAATCTTCATCTGACAAATCGTCAGATGAATTATCTGATAAATAAGTTTGCTGTTCAGATTTGTTGTCATCTTTATAGGTATTTGCTAAAATAATTTTAGACTGATTTTTTAAATAAGGAATACAGAAATACAGACTAGCATTTAATTATTTTTTTTTCTTTACCTTTTTCTTCTCGTAAATTGAAAATTAGCTTTTCCATCGCTTTATGCGCCACCCTGGTTCTTGTATCTACCATTTTACCGTCACATAATTTACAGTAATATGGCACTTTGGGTCAAACTCTTGTATGTCTTTTAAATATTACATTGTTTTAGGCATTGATGATGCCAAATTATTATATAATTGTGGTTTCTTTGATTGAATACGCATTTATGGTTTGATCTGCTAACTACAGTTTGGTATACTGAAAAAAATTGAGTATACTTATGTAATTGTATTGTGATGAGATATTACAATAATATGTATAGTATAGTTGGTCAAAGGAGTATAGTATAATATTTATTGTTTGATTTATACATTAAGTATAAATTTATTATACATTCGATAAAAAAAATTATACACATGGTATAATGTATAGTAAAAAAATTTATACTTGTAATAGATAACTTCAATTAATAAGAGTTACTAACACAATACATGGA